ATAATAGTCTTGGCTATGACAGTCTATACACCAAATGGTGCACAATGTTTGGCTCTCCAGGTGTTTGGGACTCTTGACTCCCAGAAGCCCTAGCCAGCTTGTCCAGTAGTCAGAAATTCTGGGAACTGAAGTTCAATACACCTTGAGGGCCATAGGTTTTGCACCACTGATCTACACTAGCAAATATGTACTGATCATTTTCATCTGATGAGAATAAACAGTCCACTCAGCAAGTATGAGGCCTTCTACTAGTCAAAGACAGGCATTTAATTTCTACCTGTTATATCATGGTCATTTCTATAGATGAGATTTTTATATTGATGTACTCAATTTTACATACTGGTCTGGTGATTCTAAACCATATTGCATTACTTAAAAACATTTCCTGTGTAGATTACAAGGGAGAAAAGATAGAAGGAAATGTGGACCATAGGGCATGCTAAAGAGATGCAAAGTCTTCTAAGAATAAACACATTGTAAATAATGCAGCGTTTAATTGTACAATAGCATACTTAACATAATTTACTAATCTATGCACTATTGTTTAAGATACGTGCGATAAATTGTGGGGGTGAGGTTGCTTAAAATCTTGAAATAATTTACTTAAATGTTGAAGGAAAAATCTTCAATGTTGGAATCAACTATTAGGGCAGATATTTTCAGCCTGTTAAGTTATACTTTGGTTTTGTTTTTGTTTTTTCCAAATGGCATGAAACTGAACTTAGTTTAGATACTAACTAATTACTAGGGAGGTACATTTTTTTTGTTTGTTCTTGTAATTTGGACCAAATTTGGATCAAATTTGTTAAATTCTTACTTACGAGGTGATATGTAAGGAGGAGGGAGCAAGCTTGTTTTCTGCTTCCTTGGAGACTAGGACGCGGAACAATGGCTTCAAACTACAAGAGAGGAGATTCCATCTGAACATTAGGAAGAACTTCCTGACTGTGAGAGCCGTTCAGCAGTGGAACTCTCTGCCCCGGAGTGTGGTGGAGGCTCCTTCTTTGGAAGCTTTTAAGCAGAGGCTGGATGGCCATCTGTCAGGGGTGATTTGAATGCAATATTCCTGCTTCTTGGCAGGGGGTTGGACTGGATGGCCCATGAGGTCTCTTCCAACTCTTTGATTCTATGATTCTATGTGGGTGTGGCCTGCACCAAAAATTTAAGAATCTCAACTTGCCCCATACTTTTTTGTTTTAGTTTTGTAACTCTCAGAAGGCTCCCAAAGTCAGTTTCATATTCGGTGCAAGGAAGCAAGGCAAAGTGAATTAATGAAGTTTTGCCATTAGGAGCAAGGGAAAGAGGAAGCGGTGTTTTCTGCAAACAGCACAGAACTCTGGAAAATGCAGTTTAGGAAGCAAGGAGTGTATGCCAGAGAATGCAAAAGGCCCTGCCCTAAGCTACACTTCCCAGAATGCATCAGCATCAGAAAGCACCAATCAGAATAGCAGAGAGAAAGATTTGTCCCTCCCTATCAGAAGCCAGCAAGTTCCAATAAACTGTTGAGCCTGCAAACAGGAGACTGACTGATACTTCTCTAGTAAGTAAGTACTGCATGTACTTGAGTATAAGCCTAGTTTTTCAGCCCTTTTTAATGCTGAGAAGCCCCCCTCGGCTTATACTCAGGTGAGGGTCCTGGCAGGAAGGCATGGGGCTGAAAGAAGGGCTTCTTTCAGCGCCACGCCTTCCTGCCAGGACCCTCACCTCTCCGCACAGCAACCCAGCTCTCCTTACTCTCCTCTTTTGCGCAGCGTGCACCTTCCTTTCTTCCTCTGTCAGTGCCAGTCTTTTCCACTTTTCCATATTCATTATACACACAGTATTTTCCCCAAAATGTATAGTTAAAATAAACTATGGTGATTATTGAAAGGATATGTAATCACATTTACATTGAAGAAGGTTAAAATAATGATTTCATCAGAGTTGGACAGTTTTGTCTTATACTAGGTGTCCCCTGCCAAGCATTGCTGTGGCCCACTCTGGTGGTCATGGGGGTTCTGTGTGGGAGGTTTGGCCCAATTCCATAGTTGGTGGGGTTCAGAATGCTCTGTGACTGTAGGTGAACTACAAATGCCAAGATTCTATTTTCCCCAAACTCCACCAGTGTTCACATTTGGGCATATTGAGTATTCGTGTAGAGTTTGGTCCAGATCCATCATTGTTTGAGTCCACAGTGCTCTCTGAATGTAGGTGAACTACAACTCCAAAGGACACTGCCCACCAAACCCTTTCAGTATTTTCTGTTGGTCATGGGAGGATTGTGTGCCAAGTTTGGTTCAATTCCATCGTTGGTGGGGTTCAGAATGCTCTTTGATTGTAGGTGAACTATAAATCCCAGAAACTACAACACCCAAATGACAAAATCAGTGAAGGACATACATTAGGTTGTTAGGTGTCTTGTGTCCAAATTTGGTGTCAATTCGTCCAGTGGTTTTTGAGTTCTGTTAATCCCACAAACAAACATTACATTTTTATTTATATAGATTACAGTTTTATGTAAATATTCAAAAGCATTTAACCTACTGATGCTTCAATTAATGTAATTTTATTAGTATGTTTTTATTTTGAAATTGACCAGTAGTTGCTGAATTTCTCACCCTTGTCTTATACTCATTTTTTTTCTCATTGGAAACTTACTTGGTCTCCCAGAGGCCAGGAAGCTTTCTCAGTCCTCATTATGTTTTGATTGGTATCATATTAGCCCTGCAGTCCAGTATGGTGTAGTGGTTTGAGTGTTGGATCAGGTTTCAGAGAAGCCAGCATTCCAATATCTGTTCATCCGTGGAAAACCACTGTGTGTTGTACTCTTTCAACTTAATATAGTGAAAAATTACCTCTGAATAAACCTTACTGTGCCATAGGATTTGGCTTGATGATACATAACAGAAATAGCAATAGTGATGTTGCTTTTAAAAGTACAGCTATAGACTATAAGTAGACTTCAGTAGAAAACCAGAATAATGTTGGACCAAAACCTGAGACATTGTCAGGGAAGAATGAAAAAAGTGAATAAGGAAAGTGGGGGAGGGGCAGAAACCAAAAAGAAAAAAAACAGACAGCTAAGGACAGGGTTAGAATCCTCAATGTAACTGTTTGGTGACTTACCACTATATTTAGGGACAAAAACTATAATATAATCAATGCAAAAATAGAAAAAGAGCACTACAAAACAAGAATAGGTGTCTATATGAAAAACAGATAGGAGCAGAACAAAATAAAAATATGATGGATATCATATACTGAAGGATTACATAAAAGAGACAAAATATTGTCAGATTCCCCCAAAAAAGAATTGTTTGTAGATGAAAGCAAAGTGGAAGCTACTCTTAAAGTGCTTAGGAGAAATAAATCACCATGAACAGATGGCATACCAGTGGAACTGTTTCAAAGCTATAGAGATGGAATCTATTCAAAATTTATTTGAACCCTGTTAAAACTAATAGAGAAGAAAACCTTAAATTCCCATAGAATGGAAATAGTATATAGTCCAGTCCCTGAGAAAACAGATGTCAGAGATTGTAGTAACCTTTGTACTATAGCACTGATCTTCCATTCATCACATGCTCAAGAGTTTATGGCAAAAACACTTGCCATAAAAGCAAGATATGCCAGACATATAAACTGGTTTCAAAGAGGTCAGAAGTACTAGGGAAACAAGTATTCGTTAGCTAATGGAATGCACCAAATAATTTCAGAGGAAAATCATCCTGTGTTTTGTTGATCACAGCAAAGCCATGGATTATATAGACCAGTGGTTCTCAACATGTGGGTCCCCAGATGTTTTGGCCTTCAACTCCCAGAAATCCTAACAGCTGGTAAACTAGCTGGGATTTCTGGGAGTTGTAGTCCAAAACACCTGAAGACCCACAGGTTGAGAACCACTGACATAGACCAATACTTCCCAAACTCTTTTCTTCTAGATGTTTTGGACTTCGCTTCATAGATTCTGGGAATACTTGGAGGACCAGAATTTGGGGATCACTGGCATGGACCATGAGAGATCATGGTCTACAATAGAAGAAATGATAGCTCCACAACATCTAATCCTGATGTTTAGGCTATACTGTAGACTAGAAGCCACAGTCAAGATAGGATTATTTCCTATTGGCAAGATGGTCAAACAAAGCTGGAGTTTCATACCATCTGTTTAATTAATATGCAGAAAATGTATGGAAAGCAGGATTAGAATTCACAAAAATGGGGTGTGAAAATAGAGGAAAGAACATCAAATTATTAAAATTATGTAAACTTTGAAACTTTTGTGATAGTCGTACGAACTTGAGAAAAAAAATAATACAAATATATGCAGGCAGAGGCTTTATAATTCCTTTTTCCAAAATTTAATAAAACCCATTGTATGAATCAGGATTTTTTTATAATGTAGGTGCATACCTAAAGTTTTGTTTTACATAGTTTTGAAGATCAAATTAGGTAGGTGACGTCCCCCATTCTCCATACACCGAGTAAACCGATTTCTGGCGTTTGTCATTACTCTTGCCAACATAGCAGGTTTTATGTTGGCAATTTCTTCCACTCGAAAAGTAGGCCTCAATGGCAAAAGCACACTCCTCACTGTTCCAACACATGATGGCAACTGAACTATGTCAGGACAAAACTTTATACTCCCACCTCTCGAACGAGACCACTAGCACTCCACTACGTTTTCAACCGACTGAATGGCGCGCATATTAAAAAAGGAAGTTATGCTTCTAATGATCTACATTTATATGATATATGATCAATAAACAGGGCTTTGAACTAAAGAAATACAAAATGTAGTTTTCACTTAGTGTTACAAATGGAAGTATAAAGGTATAAATATTTTGAATATTTGGTGAACCAGATTTTAACTCCATAACATTACACACTGGTTTAACAACCATCCTTACAACATTGAACAGATTGAAAGCAGAACAGAAGATGTTTCCCAAGTGGAGCATAATGCCAGTTAGCTTGTGTTTGAGTTCTCTTTATTAATTTTGATATTTTTTAAATTTTAGCTTTTCTCACTGATGGAGATGAAGCCTCCTATTTCCCGTGCAAAGATGATTCTCATCACTAAAGCTGCCATTAAAGCTATTAAGGTGAGGTGGTGAATTATAATATCCCCTCTGTTGTATTTCTTTTTCATTAGACCTACCTTTCACATTATTTGGGGATTTTGTAATATATAATTTTGTGACTTTTGGTAAATTCTGGAGAATTTTATTAATTTCTTTTCAGTTGATATTTCATGTACATTTTTATCAACATATTTTCCTCATTTACCGTACATACTCGAATATAAGCCGGCCCGAATATAAGCCGAGGCACCTAATTTTACCACAAAAAACTGGGAAATCTTATTGACTCGAGTATAACCCGAGGGTGAAAAATGCAGCTGCTACTGGTCAGTTTGACAGATGACCACCCAGTTTTCTGTCATTCCCTCCCTCCCTTGCGGAGCACGATCTTTCCTCGGCGGCGGCAGAGGAGAAGGAAGCCCCTGCGGCAGGCTTTTCCGCAGGCTTGCTCTCCTTCTTCCTGGTCCCATGCGCGGCCGCGGTGGCGGTGGCAGCGGCGGGAAGAAGCAGAAAAACCGTGCGAGGGGGGAGGGGAAAGTGCTCACCGCTTCCCTTCCTCTCTTGCCCCGCACGCACCTTCTTCCTTGTCCCATGCGCGGCCGTGGTGGCGGTGGCAGCGGCGGGAGGACACAGGAAAGCTGCGCATGGTGTGAGGGGCGGGGCAAGTGTGCGCCACTCTCCTTCCTCTCTTGCCGCGTGTGCACCTTTTTCGGCAGCAGAGGCAGGGAAGACGCGCGAGGGAGAAGGGAAAGGTGCGCGCCTTTCTCTCCCTTGCCCTGTGCACACCTTTACCGCCGCTGCATCTTCCTCGGCAGCGGCTGTAAAGGCACGCACAGGGCAAGGGAGGAGAGAAGGCGCTCACCTTTCCCTTCTCCCTCGCGCGTCTTCCCTGCCTCCGCCGGCGAAAAAGGTGCGCGCGTGGCAAGAGAGGAAGGGGAGTGGCGCGCACTTGCCCCGCCCCCCTCACACCATGCGCGGCTTTCCTGCGTCCTCCCGCCGCTGCCACCGCGGCCGCGCATGGGACCAGGAAGAAGGAGAGCAAGCCTGCGGAAAAGCCTGCCACAGGGGCTTCCTTTTGCTCTGCCGCCGCTGAGGCTGCCGAGGAAGGCTTGCCTTTCCCTCCTCCTCCGTCGTTCCCTGACCTGAATATAAGCCGAGGTGAGGTTTTTCAGCCTGAAAAAAAGGCTGAAAAACTCTGCTTATATTCGAGTATATACGGTGTTCCTTTCAAGGAAATTTCTTAACTATTCTTTGGCATGAAAGATTTCTAAGAAATTGATTTTCTGATGCTGTTTAATTCTCTTTCAGCTTTATAAGCATGTTGTCCAGATTGTAGAGAAGTTTATAAAAAAAGTAAGTGCAGTATTATGGATAAGAGTTATAAAGTTGAGTCCCAACTGTTTTAATCATGTTAGCATGTTTTTGGCTGTAACACACGAGTCATGGTACAAATTTATTGTTCTATAAGTATGACCTGAACTACTGGCTTTAAAGGGATTTAAATTAAACATTGGCAAGAATTTTCTGATAACTAGTTGGAAGGTGTGGAGTCTTTTCTCTTTTTGTGTAATATAGGAGGGAAGGGGGGAACAGAGGCCCTTAATATATGTGCCTCTCCCTTTCTTGTTTCTCCAGGTGATAGCACAGGGTTAGAGGGTGGCCTCTAAAGATACATACCCATGTTTCTGTATGTTTTGGGGAATCTTGAACTGTATAGCCCCAGGAGAGACCTTTATTTAACTCAAAGAAAAACTGAATTATGGCCAGAGTGTGGTGAATTTTTTTAATGGTGGTGAGAGACACAAATCAGATTTGGGAGATTGTAGATTTCACTTTCCCCATTCTGGGCTAGAGTTTTGAACCTAGAGGTGTGTTTATTTCTGACTTGATTTTGCTAGGTATTGTGTACTACATTTTTGAATGTTTGCAAAAATTCTACAGCTTGAAGAGTTCTAAGAACACAGGTCCTAAAAATTCCAATACACTGCAAGTCAGAAAATAATTTTCTTTGTATGTGTTAGAAGGTTATCTTTTTTTTTTTTTTTTGGTGTCTGTCTCATGAACCAAGAGAGTCAGAGGAAAGTGACTCACATACATTTAACCAAATGGTAAACCTTACAGGTGCTCCACACTTTTGTTCAATTGCTGTAAAATGTAACTGAAATATATGAATATTCATATTGTCTCCTATGATTTTGGTGGATATAGATATGTGTTTTATTACATGTACACATATTCATTATAATATGCAACAAACATGGAGACAAGGTGTACTGTAGCAAGGTCAGTGTTTGTATGTGATTGCACATTTGCACATTTATTATGCCTACATGCCTGGTGTTTTTAACACAGATCCTGAGATCTGTGTTAAAAACATAATAGCACTAGTGCTTGGATTCCAAGAAAAGATGCTGCAGTATCTTTTGTGTTGCATAGCGCATATGGCTACATATTCCTTTCTACCTTATCTTGAATTTGTAATGGTTTATTTGAGGATATCTGTTTTATGACATTAAAGAAGTTTATGTTTGAGTGTTGAATATGGAATGACTCATTGGGAACTATATGTTTTCTTTCTGACTTTTCTTTTTAATTTTAGTGTAAACCAGAATATAAAGTCCCTGGATTATATGTAATTGATTCAATTGTTCGTCAGTCTCGTCATCAGTTTGGAACAGACAAGGATGTTTTTGGGCCAAGATTTTGTAAAAATATAATTGCCACATTCCAGTATTTATATCTTTGTCCATCGGAAGATAAGGTATACTTACAAGCTTTTATTACAACATTGTGACTTGTGAAATTGTATTTTTGGTTGTTAGTATATTGGAGATGGCAGCACACACATTCAAAAACTGTTCTGTTTCAGTCTCCTATTTAAAAATTGGGATGTGGGATGGTGGTTATTCTTAAAATTGTCTAGACCTCAAGTAAGCTTAAATAAGTTTTTTTTTAAAATCTGCTGACATATTTCTTATATGAACAGAGTAAGATTGTTCGTGTCCTCAACCTATGGCAGAAAAATGGAGTATTTAAAATAGAAATTATTCAGCCTCTTCTGGACATGGCAGCAGGAGCGAGCAGTACAGCTTCAATGACTGAAGATGCCACTAATAATGAAGGTAGGAGATTTCTGTTGGATGATGTATCGACCATGAAGGTCTTAACTGCGTTCTCCAAAATGTTGTAGACAAAATATTCTGCACAGATGCCTGTACAGGAGAGACATTCTCTGTGCCAAAAAAGAGATCATTTTCTGTGCAAAATGTGTTTTTTGTCTCAGAAGAATTGCTCCACATTGCTGCAGAGATTTGTTTTCTTCTATAGAAGGGAGAAAACTACCATAAGTATTTGTTCTTGCATGTGAGAATGAAATAGTTAAGGATTTACATCTCTACTTTATATATTGATTCAGTTGCCATAATTCTTTACAAATGTTACTTCCAAAATGAGTGATCTCTGTGATTGTCAAATGGTGAGCATGTTTCCTTGAAATTGTATTCAGTTTTGTAGAACCATCTCCTGTGTCTCCTTGTGTAAGTTAATAGTTGAAAGGCTGGATTGCCATACCCTAATGCAGTAGTTCTCAACCTGTGGGTCGCTAGTTGTTTTGGCCTACAACTCCCAGAAATCCCAGTCAGTTGAAGGCCAAAACATCCGGGGACCCACAGGTTGACAACCACTGTCCTAATGCATTAAAAAGACCAACATCTTTAAAGTGAACTATTTTCATTGAACTTAAGCTTAAGTGGACTGTAGTCCACTCCACTCAATTCAACTGAAACGTATGTGAATGGGAGGTGCAATGGAATGTGAGATTTCTAGTCTCTGCTTCTTGTCTTTGTCTTGGTTCTGGGTCCTCGAAACAGAGAAAAATGTTTGTTACAGACTCTAAAGTAATCCCATCGACTTACCCATCGGTCAAGGCTAAATCTCCAATTTTGGTCTCAAATCCTGCCCTTAACTTATATATAAAGTTGATGAATACAAGGGTATACATGGTAGCATACAACTTGCCCATCTTGTGTTTTTACTTTTAAAAAGGGGGTAGTGAAGGTTTAAAGCTATACATGGAAAGCAGTTACTATTTTTAGCTGTATTTAATTAAATTTCTTTTGTAGGTTCACCTCCTCCTCCTACAGCAATTCCATCAGAGCTTCCCCAGGTTTCTTCTAATTCAGTACCTGCTGTGCCACAGTTGCCCAGTTCTGATGCTTTTGCAGCTGTAGCTCAGTTATTTCAAACTACACAAGGGCAACAAGTAAGCGCAGTGTTTTCATTTCAAAATGAAATCATAAATTTATGGAAGTAAAGTGAGATTAATGTTTGTTCCACATGTGGTCTGGAAATAAATCATGTTTGTTTATTTACTCATATTTCCATCATACCTTCTGTCAAGTGAGAGCTCAAAGTACATTCCTTGCCACCCTCCCCCCAACCCATTCTCCCAACAATCACATGAGGTGTTTCAGGCTAAGAGAGGGTAACTAGCTTGAGGTCACTCAGTGAGTGTCATGGTTCAATGGAAAATACAACCTGGATCTTCCAAATCCTAGTCTACTGTTTTATCTGCTACATCACATTGCTGTAACATATGACTGTTGGGCATGTAATTTGCCTTGACAGCTTATTGATGAAATCAGCAGAAGGCCTCAACAGGAATCTGACTGGTCCATTAGTTGCCTACCTGGTCATGCCGTGTTAGTTCTTTTGTGAAGAGTTGGTAGACTTTATGCATATAATCATGGTATAGTTATAGTGTTTTATAGTATTTCTGTCCCAAAATATTATGCCAGTTGTTTCAGTGCTTAAGCATTCCAGCTCCTTTTTTATATTATGTTATTAAGAACCCACAAAGTAGAGGAATAACAGACACAAGTGTTCCATATATTAACATTTATCATAAGATTACAGAACACGGCTGGAGGGAGGAAAGGTGTGATCCCCACACTTAAAAGTAGCAACAGTTGTACATGTTGTTGATTTTTCTTTATGCTATTTGTAAGCTGGTATTGAGAGTGTACTTTTATACTCTTAGCTGCAACAGATTCTTCAGACTTTTCAGCAGCCCCCTAAACCTCAGTCTCCAGTGATAGATAATAATGTGATGGCCCAGGTCCACGCTATTACTGCTCAGCTGCAAACTACCACCACACAACCGTCAGAACAAAAGCATGATTTCTCAGCCCCAGAACAAAAGACATCCTTTGATAAGGTAATATTTTAAAAGTGTTAAACCAGTGATTTATTTCAAATAGAAGGCCATGGGAAAAAATTGAAAAGAGCTATATCCTGGACTTTAATGACAATTTGAAATAAAACTGTAGTTTAAATGGAATTTGCAGGCCTTAATTTGTGGCTTTGATTAACTTGCAAACTGTTTGCTTTAAAGGAGTAAATAAATTCTTCTTATGAGGAGAGAGAAGAATGCATACCTTTAAGCCACATAATGAGTATGTAATGCAGGCTTGTGGAGTGGCATTGTTGAGCCAATGCCAATGAGAAACCAATGCCAATGAGGATATTATCTCTTTCAAATGAGATGTTATGATTTCTTTTTAGTTGCTTTTGCATGGTAGGTTGTATAGTCCGTTTTAGGATTTATATATTTTATCAGATAACCCTTGGGTTTTTCTGGTATCAGAGCTACGTGGACTGTTAGTTGAGAACCTGACAATGTATTCATTTGATGTGGCGTAAACATATATTGATTGGCATGACAACTATAGAGACAAAATTAGTTGAGAACCTGACAATGTATTCATTTGATGTGGCATAAGCATATATTGATTGGCATGACAACTATAGAGACAAAATCCAGAGGAGCAAATATTGTACTTGGATGCAAAAGTTCCATGGCTACTAAAACAAATTTATTGATTCATAGTCAGGTATTTATTTATTTATTTATTTACACCATTTCTACCCTTCCTTTTTCCACCCCGGAGGGAACTCAAGGCAACTTTACAACATAGGCAGCTATTTGTTTATTATATGTCACCATGGAATTCAGCCACCATTGCACAGTTCTAGAGGTGTAGTGTTGGCTACTGACTTTGCAGTGTTTGAGAAACATGCAATAAAGTTTGGTAAATCATGGAGACTAAATTCACATTTTAATCCTTTAAAATACTATTTAATACTAGGAGAAGTAGGAGAATGCTGGAACTAGCTTTTAACTATATTAACGGTTAGGTTTAGTAAAATCACACTGTTACACTTTTAAAAAAAAGCACACACCCATTCAACAAATACTTTCAACAAATACCCTTGCTCTTAATTTTTGTTTTAATTTACTGTTTTCTAATAAGTGCTTGTAGCAGAGTAGGGTAGTGGACATATACTCATATCCTTAGTATATAGCAGGCTTGCACAACTTGCCCCTGTAAAGGAGCAATATTATATATAAAAAATAAACTTCTGCAGGCTACCCTCCCTCCCTGCCTTAAGGGAGAACCTCATCCTTTCCCTAGCCTCGCACTGTTCCCATGGAAATGGCACAAGGTTGGAGAAGGACCTGGGCTTCATCCACCCTCTCACATCCACAGCTTTGGAGGCTTGCCTTGCTACCTGCACACCTGCTGGTTAGAGGTACATGTGCTCTCTTAGCAGATAGGTAGGCATGAGAAGGACTGAGTGGCAGAGGGAAGCCTCACCCCTTCTCCGACTTCGCGCCCTTCCCAGCGGGAATAGCACAAGGCTGGGGAAGGGCTGACGGCAAAGAAGAAGCCCAGTCCCACCCATGGGCCACAGGAAGAGCCTTTTTGGGCCACATCTGGCCCTCAGGCTGTATTTTGTGCAGGCCTGGTCTATACTGTGCATTTTACAGTGCAGTTTGGTCCAAAATCAGTTATGAGAAAATTAAGAGGGAATAGTTTTTAGCTCATGTCCTTTACCCTTACACCTCCTTCTCCCAGGAACTGTGCTGGTGCTCTCATGGCGACCAGAAGTGATGTCATATCATTGGTTTTGTTTTTGGTTGATTATCAAATTGTATGGGGTGCATTAGTGGCCATAGGGGTAAAGCCACTATGATTTTGAGCTGGTTTGGGCAGCTTTTGGGCAAAAAATTTGCTTATTTCACCTTCCCAGTTTTGTGACTTTGGGCTACTAAATAGGGTTCCACAAACATATTTTCTCCAGTCTTATACTAAATAATTGCATGGCATTCCGGGCTTCTGGTGCTCTCATGAATAGTGGCAGACTTTAGGGTTTTTTATCAGTAGTTGCAAATGTACAAACCCAATTTTTAAATTGTTGGTGACATTTTTTTGTTCTCTTCTCTGATGTTAATTTTTTAATAAGCTGTTGGATCGATTTGACTATGATGATGAGCCAGAAGCAGTGGAAGACTCAAAGAAAGAAGAATCGTTGTCTTCTTCAGTATCTCAACCAACCTTGTAAGATTTCTGATACAGACAAGTAGATGTTACTAGCTGGTATTGTGGACATTTAAAGTTATATATGTGATTCACTTCACTGTAGAGACTTTATGGTTTTCATCTATTTAATTTTGTAATATCTTGATTTTATCAGTTTAATAAAATAAAATATTTTAAAGTTAATTTAATATTTATAGCCTTCCTGCAGAAAATTAGTAGACAGTTGTTCTCTAGTATAATATCAAGAGACAAGCCCTGTTCTGAAGAGTTTATCATGTAAAATTTGACAAATGGTGGCAACAGAAGAAGGGGAGGAAAATAGTGGTTAGGATAAACAAGTGAATAATATATATTCAGTTTATATTTTTTAATGAGAAGGGAGCTCTGTTCGCAGCCTGCACTTAACTATACTATATTTAGAAAATATTTCTAAAATGTATTTCTTTTGCACAGTGGATTCCCGAGTGAAGGCATACAACAACCAATTTACCCTCAGATCCCAAATATTGATCAGTTCCAGCAGCGAATGATGGGAATGCAGCAGGATGCTATGCTCCACCAGGTGCTGGACACATTTTAAATAAATTTCCTTTGTTATGTGCTTAATATTTAATATTTAGATTGTTGGTTTGTATTCACTTTGAGATGAATGGATAATATCTTGTTTATTTCAAGGTCCCACTTCCTCCAAATGGACAGATACCAACTTATGGACTTCTGCCCGCACCACAGTTTCCTCCCATATCTCAGCCTGTTATACCATCATCATCACAGGTGCAGCAATCTTTCCAGTCGCCTTTTCCAGTGCAAAGTGAGTCCCACATGCAGAAAACACATCAACAGGTAAGCAGCTCTTTATAGTCATTATTGTGAACCTAGTACCTTATGTTACTTCTAGGGAGACACTGTCCCTTTCACACTTCCATGAAATTCATGGTTTAATATATGTTAAATTTTGACAGTCAAAACTCGTAGTAGAATGTGTTGTTTGATGTAGTATAACGATTTTGTGTGTTCTCAAATTGTTTTCATGGTGTACATTTTAACTTTTTTTTTTGAAGGAATATGCTGTTATGCTATTCCTCAGGCTTTCCCAACCTCTAGGTGTTTTTACCAGCATCTATTGTCATTCCTCACCAGTGACTGCAGCATATTGTTCTTGACCAAAAATGAGATTTTATCTTGTCTTAATAAACTGAGATAGGAATGGGCGTTGTGGCACTGGTCTTTCTTTGGTGTTAGTAAATGAAAAAAACATGGAACACAAAGTGAATGTTCTTATTGCAGCTTATTCAACTGGTATAAGTGTCCGAATACCATCATAATGTCCTCAATGAACTGTGCTGTTTTTAAAAATATATTTTAGAACTGTTTGGGTTTCATTTTGGCACCAAAGTTTGTTCATTTTTTGTTCACTTCCCTTTTGTATTAGAGAAACTGGAGTAGCTTTCAGGTTAGAGTTATCAAAACAAAAACAGCCTCTGAGATAAGATGCTGCTCTCTAGTTTTCATAGGTAGTCCCATTTGTATCATCCCGCTTTCATATTGTGTATTCATTAATCATGCCCAAATCAACATTTTATTGCAGTTCATAGCCTAGCTATATTACTGTTACATGATGACATAAATTTAGGAGAATCTTCCTACACATTATTTATTCTTCTGTGTCCACTACAGCTGAAGTAGACTGAAATAGTTCTACAGAAATAGAAGTGACAATAGGGATTAGCATTGCATTGGTGGGCATATAATATTATATTGCTTCCCTTGTTTCTGTCTTGCTGCCAACATAAAGCTGACTGGTGGCATGGTGGCATGAAAGTTAAGTTGAAGAAACCTCTTGCTTGAACATGGACATCCTTTCTGGGTAGGCGTTTATCTTCCCTTAGTTCTTTATATGATACATAAAGCAGAATTAGACTCAGAGGAAAAAGGCATGAACACTGGTCGAAGGAGGTATGACAATTGGAGGAACATCAGCAATTGAAAATATGCAGATGACACCACACTACTAGGAGGGAATACAGAAGACTTGGGACCCATCTACACTGGCATATAATGCAATTTAACTACATTGAACCACATTATATGAGTTTTCATTAACCTCCTTCTTTGGAGGCTTTTAAACAGAGGCTAGATGGCCATCTGTTAGGGCTGCTTTGAATGAGATTTTCCTGCTTCTTAGCAAGGTTTTGGACTGGATGGCCCACGAGGTCTCTTTCAACTCTATGATTCTATGTAAAACACTTCCAAACTGCATTATATGGCAGTTTAGATAGGGCCTTGGAACGAAATCCAAGGAAGAAAATGCAAAGGCAAGTTTACAGTTCAACATTAAGAGGACAAAACTAATTACCACAGATGATTTACATGACTTCAGAGTAGATGATGAAGATGGTCTTTCCATCCGTTAGCTTATTTATTAACCATAATGGAGGCTGCTGTCAAGAAATCAGAAGATGGCGACTTGGAAGGGCAACTATGAAGGAATCAGATCTTGTCATGAAATATGAAGATCTGTAATTGAATACTATAGTGAGAATGGTCTACTCCATGATATTTCCAATTTCTGTATGTGATAATGAAAGCTGGAGAATGAAGAAAATGGATAGAAACGAAATCATCTCATTTGAAATGTGGTGCTGGAGAAGGTTTTATGGATAACTTGGACAAATAAATGCGTTTTAGAGCACTCTTGAGCAAATCAAGCTGAACTCTTGAAGCCAAATGATTTAACTGAGAGTATCATACTTCGGATCTATCACAAGATGACATGACTCACTAGGAAAGACGACAAAGCTTGGTAAAGTTAGTAGGAAAAGAGGAAGACCTTATTTCAGATGGATAGACTTAATCATGGGAGCCAGGGCCCTGGGTCCACGATACTCAAGCAGAGCTGTAGATGAAAGCAGTGGCTTGGAGGTCTCTCATTCATAAGATTGCCACAAGTTCAAGTTGGCTCGACAGCAGTTAACAGAAACAGCAAAGCCCTTTTGAGATTATTCCTAAAGAAGTATGACAGATATGAGGATACTGTTTCTGACGTTCTCTTCCTAATACATGATAGGATTATGGTGGGCTTTTCCTGAAGGAAGTATTTCTTGATACCTTTTCTTACATAACTGGATGGCTCGCTAGCTCATTTGCTTTTAATACTGTTTTCTTTTTTACAGTTTCTTTAAAAATTGTTAATTAGATATTTATATAGATAAGAGTATAAATTATATGAAAAATATAAGTAAACCTATCTCTGTACTGGGTCATCTTCAATACCTATTGTTTCTTTTAATTATTTTTCATTGAGTGTGGATGTTTTCAGTTTGCAACATTCTGTATTAGGCAGATGGGCAAACAAAGATTCCCAATTATAGATCAAGTATGGCAACAAATATATGATGATTTAGTCATGTGGGTGTGTTCAGTTTCAGTTACATGGCTAACATGCTACAATTTATTAGGACTAACATTTACTTTTAACAATTTAATTAAATTGTCTTTTTCTGGAAATATTTTAATAATCTGAAACAATTGATACATATGAATGAGTGTTGATTTTTAACTGTCATTTCAAACTCTTTAGCTATCTAATTGTTAAAAATTGTAACTGACAGAGGAAAGGACACAATACCAATTATAATAAATCCTTGGTAAATGTTTTAGGAAGTGGAAATGGATCATCCACCTGTTCAAGAAGTAAAGAGACATGACCATAGAAAATCAAGATCTAGATCTGCATCTAGGTAAGAAGTACAAACTGTATATGTTTATATTGATATTTTTTATTTACCATTTATAACCAGAAACTAGCAGCCCCCATGTGGCGCAGTGGGTTAAACCCCTGTGCCGGCAGGACTGAAGACTGACAGGTCGCAGGTTCGAATCTGGGGAGAGCGCAGATGAGCTCCCTCTGTCAGCTCCAGCTCCTCATGTGGGGACATGAGAGAAGTCCTTAGGGAGATGCTAGCGGGGTACAAATAAAGTTTAATAATAATAATAATAATAATAATAATAATAATAGCCTCCCACAAGGATGGTAAAACATCAAAAACATCCGGGCATCCCCTGGGCAACGTCCTTGCAGACGGCCAGTTCTCTCACACCAGAAGCGATTTGCAGTTTCTGACATGACCAAACCAGAAACTTCCACAGTAGCTTACTAATAGTTAATTGGGCATTTCATGCACACAGGCTTTGCAAAAGGGTTGAGGAGAGTGGGTTCAACAGCAGCTGTGGCGTGATATCATTATGGAGCTGTGCCTGGCTGCTCCTCTTATTATTCTGCAGCTAGAAAAGTGGCAGTTGAAAGGAAGATGATGGGTCTTTTAGCAGCAGCTAGGCCAGGTGTCAGAGATGGTGTCTCTTCTACTTTCAGATAAAACAGTAATATGAAAATACATTTATGTTGAGTGATTAACTTGAGATATCTTGTGATGAAGACTTCCTACCTTTTGGCTTTGGCTGTTCATAAAAGAGTATTCAAGAAAGAGTCATATACATCCTAGAAATTTAATATTGTAAAAGCGTCAATATATTACAATATTTGTTTCATTATAACATGATTCTTTCTACAAAATAGTTTAAGTTGATTACTAGACAAATTTGAAGAAAGAAGAGGTTTACTCAACGTTTTCTCAAAATGAAGGGGCATCAAATGTGTTATCTCAGTCTCAACACAGAAATAATAGATGGCACATAGTTACATGTAAAAGCTGGGCTGGGCTTATCAGGATTTCTTACATCCTCAGGCCATGATTGAAAGATTTCTCTCTTCATATAATAATTGCAAGTTTTGATATGGAAATAATTCACTGGCAGTCAGTGAGATATTTTACTGACTTACTATGCTTGCTTGTATTTCAACATTTTTGATTAAACATAAGGTCACCCAAAAGGAGAAGGTCACGTTCTAGTTCTCGAAATCGAAGATCCCGCCATCGTCGCTCTCGTTCTCGCTCTCGGGATAGGCGTCGCCATTCTCCTAGGACACGGTCCCAGGAAAGGCGGGAGAGGGAGAAGGAGAGAGAGCGGAGAGGGAAAGGTCTTCCCCCAATTAAACCAGAAACTGTTAGTGGTGAGTATGATTTTTGTCTCTCCTAGCAGGAATAGGCAATATTAATGTTTATTTCCATTCTTGATTGTTGTCTTTTCTTTACAATGAGGATCTGATAAGATTTGAACTTGGGAAAACTAGGTAAATTTAAGATGAGCAGCTTCTAATACATAAAGATTAAATCATTCTTATTCCTGTGCTCCTGAATGCTCCTGCAGATTTGACCATGCACCTGGTATTTATTGATCAGAGGTGGGCCCCTATTTGAGTAAAAAAAGGAGTTAAAGAGAACTTTGTTTCTTTCATCATCTCTGTATGATATATGGACAAAATGACACCTTTCTACTGCAGTCATCAAGAAAACTGATCAAGCCATTGAAAGACGATAGATTGCATTGTCTTCCATTCTCATTCCTGTGAGAACTCTTGACTACATTGTCAGATCAGTTATGAAATGTCAGATTGAATTAAGCTTCAAGATATACCTCCTGTTTACTCAGAATACTGTGTCATGCTTAAAGCACATGAAATATATTGCTTGCAAGTTAACGGCAAGTTGCAGTCATCTGGCAAATCAAAATCTAACAACTATCATTTGGTTTTATCTATAAGAATAAGTAAAGTACACAAATGCTTCAATTCTCTAGCAAGAATTAATGTTTCCTTAACAGATAGGTAATTTAAATGAAATAATGATAAAACCTTGCTTTCTAAAGACAGTGACACCCAAAGAGTTGGGTTTTAATACTGAAATAGGTTTAAAGTTTGCATTTTTCTTCTTAGTTTGCAGTACAACCCTGTGGTTAGGTCAGCTGGACAAACGAGCCACACAGCAGGATGTTGGAGGTCTTCTTGAAGAGTTTGGTCCAATTGAATCCATAAATGTAAGTATGAAACAGAAAAACAACAATAACCAATAAAATGTCACATTTTAGTTGAAGTACTTTTCATTGGTCCACGTAGAGCTGTTTGCAACATAGAATCATGAGAGTTGAAGGAGACCACAAGGACCATCCAGTCTAACCTCCTGCCATGCAGGAAAATACAATTAAAGCAGTCCCCATCAAGAGGCATTCTGCCTCTGCTTAAAAACCTCCAGAGAAGTAGACCCACCTCACTCTGGGGCAGCATATTCCACTGTCAAACAACTCTTTCAGGCTGTTCTTCCTGATATTTAAGTGGAATCCCTTTTCCTGCAGTCTGAATCCATTGCTCCATTTACTAGTTTCCAGAGCAGTAGAAAACAAGCTTTCTACCTCCTTTATGTGACATCCTTTCAAATATTTAAACATGGCTGTCATATCCCTTTTCAGCCTTCTTTTTCTAAAGCTGGACATATTCAGCTCCCTCAACCATTCCTAATAGGGCTTTGCTCCCAAACCTTTGATCATTTTAGTTGCCCATTTTGATAGATGCTAGCAGTAATTTTTAGAGTTGGACCTGAATCACTGTTAATGAAAAGATTTGTAATTTTTGGAGGGCCACTTTAGTGTTATTTCTGAAAACAAAAAGGGGAAAGGAGAGACGAAAAGACCAGTTAAATGAATTCAGGGAGACAATATTTTCGTAAACAGTTAAGTCCACAAAACATCTGAGACAGAGGCATCTGTGGCGTCTTTTTGTCTCCTTGGCAGAAGAAGCCTCCTCCATTTTTTTCTTGGAAAGTTCCCTCCTAATTCAGAGAGGGCCCTTAGAACTCACTTTCCCAGTGGAACTAACATAGGGTGATCATTGAAAGTTCCTCTCAGAGCATGATGGGAGTTGAAGTTTTTCTTTCTGTCTCTCAACCAATAAAAAGCCTGGTGGTGTCCATGCTCTGATTGGCTGAATGGACACAACTGGCCACTACAAGATCCCTCTCGTGTGGTCTTATTTTTAAAAATGTTATGTTTAAAACTTAAAATAATTCTAAAAAATCAGTAGATTGGTGGATTGTTTTGAAACTTGGCAGGCCTGCAGTTTTAAGTCGGGTCTACAACTGAGTTTTAAGTCGGGTCTACAAGGGAAAGATACTAGAGACAAAGTTGAAGTCCTTTGGCCACATCATGAGGAGACAGGAAAGCCTAGAGAAGACAATTATGCTGGGGAAAGTGGAAGGCAAAAGGAAGAGGGGCCGACCAAGGGCAAGATGGATGGATGGCATCCTTGAAGTGACTGGACTGACCTTGAGGGAGCTGGGGGTGGTAACGGCCGACAGGGAGCTCTGGCGTGGGCTGGTCCATGAGGTCACGAAGAGTCGGAGACGACTGAACGAATGAACAACAACAATTACAACTGAGGTAGATTTCGTGCAGATAGGCCTTAAAATGGCCTTTAATGTTTCCCATTGTAGCCAGTGGGCTGAATCTCTGACGAAAGAAACAGAAAACTCCACTCTTCTTATGGGTAACTTTCTGGTAAACAAAATGAGGGGTCAGATAGAAACGGACCCAAAAACGGTATGCCTTTTGGCCTGGGTTAAAATGACTAGTAATTGTTTAATGTTATTACTTGATTGTGGGGATTGTTTGACTTGTAGATTGAAACTTATAGAAGTAACAAGATAGTAGGTGAATTTTCAGAGGTGGTGGTCTTTAATTTGTACCTTTTTGGTGTTAGATACACCTTAAAGTGTAATTCTAATCTCTTTGATAAAATCTTCAATTTTTTCTTTTAAATTGCATGATAATTTCTCTTTGTTCAATAAAATGTCAATATTTTTATTTTTGCAATAGATGATACCTCCAAGAGGATGTGCCTATATTGTAATGGTGCAGAGACAGGATGCAAACCGTGCCCTGCAAAAACTAAGCCGTGGTAACTTTAAAGTGAATCAGAAATCAATAAAGGTATTATGATATTGGTTTTTTATTGTAAAATAATAAAGTTCTTGAAAAACTACCAAAACACTTCTTAACTTGCTTATTATTTATTTACATCACTTATATCCCGCCCATATCAGCCTGCAGGCGACTCAGGGCGGTCTACATATCGGCACAATTTGATGCCATCAATACAGTACAAAAGCAAAAACAATTAAGTGCATTTAGACAAAAAAGACATTTAGACAAAAAAAAAGACAGTGCAATAACAATTTAAAAAGAGCTATATCCTCTCATTCCAATCCTCATCCGTTTCGTCGTCTTGGCATGAAATGAATCAAGTACCCTAATATCTTTAATTGAGGAAAAATCTTTCCTGTCTTAGTAGAAGGAGACAATTACTTTTGTCCTGGTTGGAGTCCATCTAAACCAAGAAGTGATGAACTTGAACCCACATAACCTTATTTGCTGCTCAGTGAAGTCCATTCTGGATACTTTCAGTTTGTTTCTGTTCTGTTGCAGCAAAGCATTGTGTAAACTGCAGAATGGTTTGTGGTTCTTGCTACAGTAATTTGATAATTTATAATATGCCATCTGAAGTAGTTTGATAATTTATGATATGCCCACACTAATTCGATAATTCATGATGAATCATCTGAAGGAATTTGGTAATTTATGATATACCACATGTGGTCTGTTTAAAATTCTTTGTACATCGTGGTTCCTCACATTGTAAATGGTTTTATATTTAATTACTTTCTTCAGTAGCGGAATGAGAGTCCAGTTTATATTTTGCCTTCACTTAACTGTTTGTCGATTAAAAAATCAATTGTTTGATGATAGTACAGAGGCTGCTTTGAGTTATGTACTCTCTTAGACAAAAAAGACAACCAAGGAACATAGCTGTTATGAGGAGATATTTTCTGTAGATTGCACATGTTTCTTTTATTATACACAGGATCCCTTAATTTGTTTAAAGAGTTTTTCATGTTATATAAATATTGTTTTTTTGCCAATGTCCCATTTATACATAGTATCATCCTTCCAGTTTTCAAATTTTGCTGTGCTGTTTCTTAATAGTAAATAAAAATAAATCACAGAGTAAGATATTTGTTGCTTTCTCCTTCAGATTGCCTGGGCTTTGAATAAAGGAATTAAACCAGATTATAAACAATACTGGGATGTAGAATTAGGTGTTACTTATGTACCATGGGGTAAAGTTAAACCTGAAGATTTACCAAGTTTTTGTGAAGGAGGAATGCTGGACAACGAAACACTTAGTCCTGGTAAGAAAGATCTTTATAAAATTCTATTAAGGTGTGTCCTTAGAAAAGTTATATAAAAGGCAAAAACATTCTTACAATAAATGTATTTTTTAATGCACTTGTTTTGCCTACTTGCTTTGGACCTGAACTGTGATAAATGGAAATCCACTTGGCTGCTTTTCAGGATGCAAAACTGCTTTGAGAGGGGTAACTTGGAGTAGAGAAGCATCATGGGAGGTGCTTACCAAAATCTAAAAAGATTCTGACACACTGAACTATACTATACTGGAAGATAAGCCAGTTGGGGAGAAGGAAGTGTAGTACAAAACTAGCAAATAGAAAAGAATTAAACATGCACCTGTCACACTCTTTAAGATGGCCCTTTCCCCCACATTACAACAAAGCAGGGAGCTTTAGAAACCTTGTTGAATACCAGTACCATGCACTTTCATGTTGCCTACGTGCCTCAGTTTTCAGTGAGAGTGGCAAACTACTCTTTGGGTTGAGAATTCTCATGAGTCATTTTTCCCAGCTCAGGCCTACATCTGCCAGATGTCCCAGCCGGTCTTGGAGCTGGCTTCATCGTCAAAAGGACTGTCACATATTGCTCTTTGGAAAACTGAGCAACCCTAACATTGCCTAATTTTGCAAACCTTGTACATTCTACAGAAGCCCCTCCCCCCTTCCTCCCCCCACCCCCACTTCTGCAGTTTTTCAGTTTAAATAAGGAACACAGAATTATGTTTCTGGAAGTTTTCGGAAACACAGTTCTCATTCAAACAGCTTTCCCCGCAAAATGTTTGAACTAGAAGTGAATTAACTGATGTGGGGTGGGTGAGGGGAAGCAAGCTTTCAAACCCTACTCTGAGATATGTATATGAATATATGTGTTTATGTACACATAAAAGGTAAAAGTTTCCCCTGGCATTAAGTCTAGTTGTGTCCGACTCTGGGGTGTGTTACTCGTCTTCATTTCTAACCCGAAGAGCCAGCGTTGTCCATAGACATCTCCAAGGTCATGTGGCTGAATCCAGAATTTAATATTCTGTGTATAAAAAGAAATATTGTCTGTGGAATGAATGATCCCCCTGTAAGAATGGTCTTGATTTTTTTATTTTTGTTTTTATACAAAGGGGTCTTGTAACTGAGAAAACAAAGTTGCTAGCATAAGCTTCTCTAAATGGTGAAAACCTTAGATGCTGGTTTTGGGTCTAGTTTTTAGTAAAAATGACAGGTATATCCATTCTCAATTTGACTTGTGTGATATATATTGTATTACATATCAAAATAATTTCATCATAATTAATAATTTCAGATAGTAGAATATTTGCCACACTGCAATACTAGTGTAATTTTATTGTTCTTGATCATTTATTTGCCTACCTACTTGTTCCTGACTTCAAGACACTTGTATTAAAAATATGAAAAATACGTCTGTGGGAAAAATGGCATTTTGAAAAAAGAAGTGGTTTTGGTCAATAGCGTGTGTCAAAGATAATTTAGCTGATCTAGAGACTTGCATCTTAGAGCTTGGAATAATATTTAATACTGTGCTTCTTTTTTTAAAAAAAAAAATCCTAAAATAATATGCAGATGCCATTTTACTCCCTCGTGAATGTCAACTGTGACTAAAAGGCTCTTTTTCCTGTTGGACATAATATGAACCGGATATTTGATTCATATCTAGTTACATTGCCCTAAAATAAGAGACCTGTGGAAACAGATATTGGACTTAAGTAGAAATAAGGTGTAATAGGTATAATCACATTCCAGCATATTAACAATAGTGATGAATTATTTTCCTGTCCATTTTTACAAATACAATTTGCATAATAAATGTCTTATCAATGGCAAGATTAGTCATAGCTGAAGTATGCCAAGGATGTTGATATCTTCACATGAACGAAGCTGAAGGGTCTGGCATTAAATGTAAAATTTACAGCTCAGTGTAAAGGGTTTAGAGGGGAACCATGACAGACATATTTATTGTGATACTAGCTCTCCCCTGCCACACATTGCTGTGGCCCAGTCTGTTGATCTGGAAAATAAAGTAATGAGAAAGTGTTGGTTTCTAATATTTGTAATTTCTTTATGTTGTGGGTAAACAGTATTTCTTGCTGTTTCTTTGTCAGTGTTGATGTGGAGAGTGTCTGGTTTGCCCACCTTGTAACATGCAACATATCATTGTCCTTCTTTGGGGGTCCCTTTCAAATCTATGATACTATATCTGTGTGTGTGTGAATCATACCTATCTATCTATCTATCTATCTATCTATGGCTGGATGGCTCTTTGTCAGGAGGACTTTGATTACTTTTTCTTGCCCTGATGAAGGGAATTGGATTGGATGGCCTTAAGTATTTTCTGATGGTCATGGGGGTTCTGTGGGGGAAGTTTATTTATTTATTTATTTATTTATTTATTTACTTTGCTTATATACCGCTGTATCTCAAGCCCGAAGGCGACTCACAGCGGTTCACAAACAGTAAAAAATAGTAGAAACAGCAGTGGTTCCATACAACATATAACAATTGACTTAACACATTATCCATAAATTACCAATAAGCAATTACAATGCACAATTATTACAAAAAACAACCGTACCCAATCTTCTCATCATCCAAGCGTAGTCCAGGTTCGTCGTCCATTGTTCCATTCCTATGTTCCATTACCAGATTGCACTAAATTACTCAAACGCCTGCACAAACATCCAGGTCTTCAGCTTTTTGCGGAATACCATTAGAGATGGTGCTAGTCTAATGTCCGTAGGAAGGGCGTTCCACAGCCGAGGAGCCACCACCAAGAAGGCCCTATCTCTCGTCCCCGCCAGCCGAGCTTGAGAAGCAGGCGGGATCGAGAGCAGGGTCTCCCCGGAAGATCTCAAAGTCCTGGTGGGTTCATAGGCAGAGATGCGGTCAGATAGGTAGCTTGGGCCGGAACCGTTTAGGGCTTTAAAGGCCAACGCCAGCACTTTGAATTCGGCCGGTAGCAGATCGGTAGCCAGTGGAGTTGGCGCAACAGGGGGGTTGTATGCTCCTGCGCTCCGCTCCTGTTAAAATCATGGCTGCCGAGCGTTGGACTAGTTGGAGCTTCCGAGCTGTCTTCAAAGGCAACCCCACGTAGAGAGCGTTGCAGTAGTCTAAACGGGATGTAACCAGAGCGTGGACTACCGTGGCCAAGTCAGACTTCCCAAGGTACGGGCCTGATTCTGATTTTTGCCCTGATTCTGTTGTTCATGGGGTTCAGAATGCTCTTTGATTGTAGGTGAACTGTGAATCCGTGACTACAACTCCCAAATGTCAAGGTCTATTTCCCCCAAATGCCATCTGTGTTCATATTTGGGCATATTGAGTGCTTGTGCCAAGTTTGGTCCAGATCCATCATTGTTTGAGTCCACAGTGCTCTCTGGATGTAGGTGAACTACAACTCCCAAACTCAAGGTCAATGCCCACCAAACCCTTCCAGTATTTTCTGTTGGTCATGGGAGTTATGTGTGCCAACTTTGGTTCATTTCCATTGTGGTGGAGTTCAGAATGCTCTTTGATTGTAGGTGAACTATAAATCCCAGCAACTACAACTCCCAAATGACAAAATCATAATTTTTTGAGTGATGGTCACTCCTTGTGTAGTGAGACGTTTTGTTGCCAAATTTGGTGTGATTTCGTTCATTGGTTCTTTTGTTTTTAAGGTACTCATTATGCACAGTGCATATATATATATATATATATATATATAGAGAGAGAGAGAGAGAGAGAGCGAGAGCAGCAGCTATTCATTGCTTTTTTAAATATAGCATCTTTTCTCTAGGTTTCAGCATAGGAAGATTTCTTACATGATCTGTGATTGATTATATTTTAGAAATTAAAGATTTAGTGGCTAGAGAAGAAAGAAAAATGTATTTGGATTGTGCCAGAAAATTAATGATGCTTTGAGGGAAGTTTTTTTTTAGAATATGATATCATGACATAGTTATGTTTGCTATTTTGTATTGTTACTTTTTTGAGGTAAACCGATACAATTATTTTAAAATTATTTCATTTAAAACATTTAAAGATATTTGGCTTAATTTGAACATAACATCAATACATTGTAGGGAGGGGGGACTTAAAATACAGAATATTTACATTCTCTTAATTATTTGTATCTTTCCTACAGAATGGAAAGGAATTCCAAAAAAATCAGAAAACCAAGTAGCCCAAAATGGTGGTGCAGGAGGTGGAGACACGACACATAATGAACAAACATTGCCTGTATCTAAAACTTTATCTGTTCAAATGCCTGTTCCAATACCTACACCAATGGCATTACCTCCACCACAGGTAAGTTTTGTTCTTTTTTCCATTTTTCTTAGATATTTTCATGTGAAAATGTGGTGCCTCTTTTTACTCAAGGGAAAAAATTCATTCCATGTTCTGTGGAATTCACACAGTTAATATATTTTGTAATGGGCATTATAATAATTTTTAGCCATTCTAATCATGTCTGTAGTAAGGAGGGTAATAATTCAATGTCTGTGGGGACAGGAGGTTTGAGAAGTACAGATTTGGTGGGAAAGGCTAAACAATAACAGTTCTGGGCATATCAGTGCATTGCATTCTGTGGCTTTTATTTCCAGTGAGTGTACAGGATTGCAGCCTATAACTTACTTGGAACATGTTCACATTAAAACTATTAACCTATTATTTTTATCACACAAAATACTGCTTGTTTTAAAAAATAGCATTAACTATGGGAGGTATAAACTCTCAACCAAAAAATGCCTTGTGAGTATTGGTGGCTTACATAACTGTAGGATTAAGTGTTGACTAAATATTTTCTCTTTGGTTGTAGGTTCCACCACATCAGCCTGGCCCTCCAATGGTTGGTACACTTCAGCCGCATACATTTACCCCTCCACTAGGAATGCCACCTCCTGGATTTGGTCCTGGAGTTCCTCCTCCACCACCTCCACCATTTTTGAGACCTGGCTTCAATCCAATGCATTTACCACCAGGTGTAGTAACTATTCTCATTGACTTCCCAAGATTATGAATTGTTCCCTACATACACCAGATGAGATATTTTCTTTTAAGTAGAAATGTTATAGATTTCTGTTTGTAGAAATTATTCTTTAATATTTTTGTTTTCATAGGGTTTCTTCCTCCTGGGCCACCACCTCCTATGAATCCTGTTTCAGTTCCTCCTGTCTCTGTCCCTCCTTCTGCAGGAGTAAACATCCCGAATTGTAAGTATAATTTGTAAATTGTTAGAGGTCTTTGCTCCACTTATTATTTTTCCTATTAACATCGCTATGTTTTAGCTACTGTAGCCAGTATAAATGAGGACACTACAACAGGCTCTAATGTGAGGAATCCCATTCAAACTGTAGTTACCGGATCTAGAGGAGGTGCTGAAGATGAGGATGCTTCCGAAGGATATGCAACTGCTCAACCGCCTACAACCTCGACTAGTGTACCAGCTTCTGTCACACAAACAGCTCCACTCCTTGGTAAGTTCACTTCTCAATTGTTGAATACACATGTATTCCTTTCCAAACTATTGATTTAATTTAAAGATTAATATTTTTGAAAGCCCAAAGTACAAGAAGCAAAGAAGTCTTTTGTCTGCTGCAATCTATTCTATGCCACCTGATCACAGGGAGCTGACAGTTTATGAGAAATGAAAGATAATACTCATTGTACTAGTTTTGAAGCCTTGATTTGTTCTTAGGGCAGGAAATGACAGGTATATTGTAATAAAACAAACAAATCAATCAATCATGAGGAAGAGTATGATCAGATATTACAAAAACAACAGAATGAATTTTGATGTCAACTTTAGCAGAGATTATTTTTTCCTTATCAGCTAATTTTGGGGATGGGGGACCTCTTGTCAGTAAATGTACGTTAGCTCTCTTTTTTACCTACTTTCATCTGTCTTCATTAAAACTCATGTATACTGATTCTGTATAAACTACTTTCTGTTTAGTCTTTTCCCGCACCTTTCAGGCTATCAAAATCATAGAGCTGGAACAGATCACAAGGGCCATCTAGGCTATCCAGGAATACACATGCACTCATGGCCACCCAGTCTGTGTTTAATCATCTCTAGAGAAGGAAACTCTGCCGCAATCCAAAGCAGCATATTCTACTATTAGGAAATGTTTCCTAAGGTTTAGATGGATTATTTTTTGCTGTAGTTTGAATCCATGGGCCCTTTGTTGCTTTTTTTTCTAGATGTTTTTGCTTTTACTTGTTTGTTTTCAGTCACCTTATATTTTGTATACTGATCTGTTTAGTGTTTTCAAAGTGTTTCTGCTAAGGCCGCTCTGAGAAGATGAGGAATTAGCTTCATGATTACCTGGCTTCTTGTGTCATTTCACCTGTGTGTATTACTCTGTTCAAAATCAGAACAGGCTACCCTTAAGCTTGATTCAGAATAAAATACATTATATGTGTGCCCCAAAGGTGTCAATTCCACAATGGGCCCACATTTTAAAAATTATGTATAACTGTAAGTGTATAGCTCAGTGAATTTGAGCATGTATACCAGAAGTGTTTTGCATTTTCTTTCTTCCTGCACGTTTTAAATTCCACACATGTCATACACTTCTGTTCCTCACTTTTCATCACAGCACTTGATGGTATCTCATATCCTTCCATGTTTCCAGGGAAGCAGAAACACACTGAGAAGGATTACTTTTGATCCAATAAGGCTTACTATGAGGCCTCAGGCGTGACACAGTGGGCATCAAGAGCAGGCCTATACCTCAGTTAGCAAAACTTGACAAAGAAGCTACTTTTCATAATGTCTTTTTATGCTTCTTCCCCCCCCCCCCCCTTCTCATGCTGTGACAAGATGGCATGTAGCAGCATTTGCATTGGGAAGATGGTGAAGAAGGCCTGGACAAACACAAGACATCTGGTATTGATTTGTAGCAGTAGGCAGTTAAAGAATGCAGTTAATGTGAGGTGGGAGACAATGGAATTCTCCTATATCAGTTCTACTGTAGCTTTTTGTGGCTGACTACAACAGGCACAGTAAACAGCAGTTGCCTTGAGAATCCCTTACTGAGTGTGCAGCAGAGGGGGGAAGGAAAAAAGGAAACACCTGTTTCACCTGCTATCCCTTGCATGTTAAAATGCATAGAATGGCCACCAAGTGGTAATTATTACAGTGGTGGAAGCTGGTGAAAGAGGGGAAAATCCTTAGATGTACTTTGGAACAAGCTTTCAGGTGGTATCCAGAAGGTTTGTAATTTTATGCAAGGCTTACCAAGCCAAGTTGTTTCATTTCACATGTGTATTTTGTTAGTTTTGGATACAAAGTTTGCTGAAACTTGATGAACTGATTTTCATTTTTGTAGTATATGAACTCTTCCATGTTATTTCTGCCTCTGGTACCGAATTTACCTCTAGGAATGCATCTACTCATTAATTGAGGTATACTTGTATATCATTATTAATTGCCCAGAAAACCGTTTTGGCAACTAATTTGAATTACAGCTTTTCTGGGAATGTGGTCCTAGGACCACATGACGCTGATAGTTTGAAATCTTTTCCCCAAATTTAAATATATTCATAATTAAAGAATGCAGTGTGTTTCTTTTTTTATATCTCAGCTAACACATGTGCCATTTGAAGTAGAATATTATTTCAATAGGTAGCTTGTGTCTTGTTTTCATTTGTTGTTGTGTGCCTTCAAATCATTTCTGACTTACAGCAATACTGAAGTTGACCCTATCACAGGGGTTTTGTTGGGCTAAGAGTATGTGCCTCGTCCAGTGGCACCCAGTAGGTTTCCATGGCCAAGAAAGAAATTAGATCTTGGGTCTCCAGAGTCATACCCCAGTGCTCGAATCGTTATATCCCTTTGCTTTCAGTATTATTTTGATTTAATCTAAGATTGCATTGTGATTTTTGCTCCTTCCCTCTATAGCCCTTGGAGCTCTCTGAAAGCCAAAGCTGGTTTTTGTGGTTCTTTGGTGGCTGGGTGACTTGGGGAGAATAATTATTCCCTCCCTACTGTGCCCTTATCAGAGCAAAATACCCCCATTTCAATACAGCTCATCAGATGCAGATCTACAGATGGTGGAAAAGTACTGCAATCTGCAGAAGGAAACCTTGTGTTCAACCCTTTGTTCTCATTTATCCTTAGCTTCAGAAATGAATTCCAAATTCATGGACAAGTATCACAGCTGTGTGCTTCTCTTTCATGCCCGTTTTCCCTTGTCTGCATGTATGAGCTCCCGTGGCTTAATATCTGTTGAAAAACTACTAAAATGAGCTAGTTATGAAGTCAAAAATAATGTGAATGAGGTAAATAAAGACATTCTGAGTTTTGTACAATACAGTATGAACCCAATATCTGCCAGGTCATACTTTTGAACTTAACCGTCAAAACTTGAATAAATAGCCTAACCCTGTTGGAATGAATAACTTCCTCTGGAAGTTACCATGGAGATATTTTTTCTAGGAATTTGTCATGCCTTCCAGGGTGACTCTGCTAACTTTCAGGATAAAATACTATAAATTGCCTGAAGAACCTAGAACATTCTTAGAGAGGACATATTTTGTCAGATGTAGGCAGGTGAACACAGGTACAGGTTCCACAGGTATGAAAGTTGTATTGCTTTGATTCCGTCTGATGAATTGATAGTAAGACACATGGACCCAGTCTGGCTGTATTTAATTCAATACAAGGCAGGATCTGATTTCCAGTGATGGATTACATTTGGAAGAGGGAAGTGAAGTGGTGGTGTTTTAGAAAACAAGCTATATGAAAGGCGAATCAAAATCTTAAACTGTTCTTGCGTGGTGATGGGGATGGATAATGTTTAGTTTAAATAAAAATAATATAGAATCTTTGAAGGCTTTCATGGCCAGAATCACTGGGGCGTTGTGTGGTTTCCGGGTTGCATGACTGTGTTCTCACAGCAGAGGATCCTCTGAAGATGCCAGCCACAGATGCAGGCAAAACATCAGGAGAAAATGCTGCTAGAACATGGCCATACAGCCTGGAAACCACACGACACCCCAGAAATGATATACCAATGTTACACTGCTTGGTCTTAGAAAAAAAAAAGCTGCAGAAAGAAAAAAAGCTGCAGTCAAAATACTCTTTGGGACTATTATGCTAAATACGGATTCAAGGTGAGTGAAGATATTTCCATAAAGACAAAGCATTCTAGGGATAGATATGTTGAAACAGCTTTTGGTTTGCCTGAAATCTGTAAACAGGCCTTGCAAAAGGAACTTAAACTCCTCGTTTTATGTTTGAATGTATTTTTCTCCTTTTTTCTACTTTTTAAAGTAACTTGACATCTTGCATTCTGTGTTGTCATTGGTTTGTAAGCCAACATGACAACCCCCAAATGTGAAGCATAATGGAGGGGCAGAATTCTATTAGTAACAGAATTTACCAGCATATAGGAAGCACCATCAGTCACCTTATTCCTGCCCAGACTGTGTCTGCTCTGCTTTTATTTACCATCTTCAAACATTGCCTAGTTCTCAAACTGGAAGATAAGGCTTGCATTGCAAGAAGGAAAACCTGGTGTCATCATCATATTAGCAATTCCTTCACACAGATTTGAAGAGGGCTTAATATTTTGACAATCATACGCACATTCCGTATAATTCCAGTATGATTGTACCCTACAATGGAGTTCCCTTTGAGAAAGAAGTTATGTATAACATTCAACAGAGATTAAAAGCATATTCTTGAACATTCATGCTTTGACTTGTATTCAACATTTTCTTTTTATATCAAGGGTATCACACAAAAAGAAACTACAAATAATTTGTAGGCATATATTATGTGATCAGGTCCATATGTGAAATTTTGGTGCCCTATCTAGTGTGGGTTCTAGAATTGGATGAAATTAAATGTCTGGGGTGCTAATTAATTATCAACTAGCAACTTCCTTCAGAAGGCAGCAAGTGTTAACTGAACTGGAAAATCAAAGAATGGGTTTTGTGTTTAGATAAGGGAAGAAAAATTCACAAAGGTGAAGCTCATCACATACTAACTCCTGTACTACAAGCAGCTATTGGAAACCCGCTGTTCCCACTTGGAAAAACCAGTGCCATTGGGGCTTGGACATTGTCTGTTGCATTTATATGTGAACTAATTTAAAATGTTTCCTTGTGCCAACCTCTTCTACAGAGGTGGAAACTTCACCACAGTAGTGATCCTTTAATACCCTCATCCACAAAGCCAGTTGATTTACTTCCAAGAGCTATCAGAAACACAGGATTCTAGCATCTGAAGGTATATAGAATTGGCAATGCGTAGGACAATACTGAAATGCTGTTGGAAATAAAACATTTTTCAATGTACAGTGATTTTAAATAGCACATGGCAAAATGTCGTACTTAGTGGGTATGACAAGGTATGAAACCATGTTTAAGGATGATTTGTGAGACACACCTTGTTTAAAAGCTGTATAAACAACACATGGGGCAGAACTAATTATCTACACAAAGATCAACATGGAAGAACACACTG